ACGTACCAGAGATCAAATCCTGAGGTGTGCAAGTTCGTCCGGGCCAACCAAGCCTTGCCATCCCCGAGCGTCTGTTCAATTGACCAGACGTGCCTGGAGGATAAAAACCACTGGTTCGTACATCGGCTGGTCTCCGCGCAATTCATTGTATAGGCCACATCCGCATTCAAACGCCACTGCGAATGTACGAATGGAAGATAGAATGACGTGTCGCATCCCAGAAAGGATTAGACCAACGCAAATGCTTTATGCTTTTGGCTGGCCTTCACGGCCATCGCACAATTGAATCGTACAATTTTGAAGGGCAGGGTTTTCTCGGTGAGAGCATCATTTAGTGAATGTGAACAGTAAATATGGACAGTTCTTCATTAGGACTTCCTGCACTGACGGTGCGCCATGTACTCCGTTAGTGGTAAATAGTCGGAGAACACTCGAGTGTTATGCTCTCACTACTTATTGCGCACGTTGCCTTGGCGAATTAACCCTTCCTCTTCGGGGTCGCCAGGAATACTACCTCCCGTTGGGCTATGACTCACAGAACGGTTGACCAGGACTCAAGCTCCCCTACCAAACAAACTATCATGATGTCACCGGTGTCTTATACTCACTAGTCACGAGCCTCTCTTGGAGCAGTCACTGCTTCCTTGTTGGAAAAAGTCTGCATCGCTGCTCCTTACGGATGTGTATATTCTCCGTTTTTCCGTGGGACCCCCCATGATTCTACACGTTTTTGATATCATTCGTTAGCTTCTTTTCTGCCTCTATTCAACCACAAGGTTTTTTTTTGATTATTACGGACATATTGTCGAATTTTTTAGCCGTGTGATAAGATGACCAGTTCACAAGAGAGACCAGGTCACCTCAAAAAACGATTGTTCCTCTAATATGATAAAACAATTCAGCGCATTGCATCCTAACATAGTTTATTTATTTATTTATTTCTTAAATGGCCAATCACTGCAGAGGAATAATACAAGGTGATTACTGGGTATTAAACAGCCGATTGACTTATTAATTATCTGAGTGAAAGTTCTGGTGGTAGGTAACTCCATACGACTCCAAACAGTTAGTGCCAGTTAGTTTGAAGAAGAATCTGGTATGCACAGATAGATTCACATTAGACCGAATGGCATCAATTTCATGGAAACCACAGCCACCGAGCCCTGAAATAAACGACTACCGAGGCCGCAGCACGACAGGGGCGGGTGCCAAAGCACCTCTTTGATCTAAACACGAACCCCAGGAGCTGGCTCAGGGGTGCTTACGAAGGCTGTCTACCAGTGCGCAAAGGTGGTGACGTTGGACGAGCAAAGTTTGTGGAAACGGCCATATGAGCACAACCGGCACATAGCGTATTGCTCAAAAGTGACAAAAGGCACTGTGGATGATCAGGGATCAAACGGTAGAGCTGTATGGAGTTCTGCAATATACCATTGAGTACAGTCATGATCATGTGGTAGTGTTACAATAAAATTGTTGCGGATACAATGCGAAAGTCCTTTTTTTCCTTGCTCAAATGAAAGAAACAAAAGATAGATATCGTTCAGCATTCCCGGCGTAACGGAGCTCCTATGTTGTTGAGAACACACTAAAAAACCTGACTGGAAGATAGGCTAGAATGGTCTGAAATGGGTAATGAGAGTGAGCTGAAATTTGTAATTTCTATTGGTGACAAGTAAGAGGCTCAGAAGATTTGGAACTAGGAGAAAAGGCAAAAATTGAAGGTAATTTAAGAAAAAAGAAATTAGCTGCACAACTGAATTGAATTCACCAACCTTATACCATGCACAGAATCCTTGAAGAAGTGGAAGGTGATAATACCGTAGCTATGTCCGAGTAGGTGTCCTTAGCTTTCCGTTATGGGTGGGAGGGGGCTACCTTGGTTAAAACCTAATACATTTTGTCAATGATTAAGGTGTATCCTCAATCAGTAAACTCATCTTGTAATGAAGCAAGAAAGACGCCGAATGTTTAAATCGAAGCATATCAGAACTAAGGTTGTTCCACGGACCTTGAACCCTCGCGAGGAAAGAATTCCTGTAGGATTCAGTGTGTGGATTTTCGAGCTGCAACTTGTACGGATGGCCTCTTGTGATACCCACAAAGGGGGAGATTCTGAAGAGATCTGTTAGCTGCAGATCAACTTCACCCGTGGTCATTTTATACAGAAAAACAAGGTCTGCAACTTTTCTACGCAATTCTAGTGACAGAGCATTCAATTTCTTCAGGCGCATTTGGTATGAAACTCTAATTAGGCCTCTCCTGACGAAACATCTTCGAGTGAACTCTCTTTGCACATCTTCGATTTCTCGCACCGAATAAACATGGGAGGGGGACCAAAGCTGAGGACAGTATTCCATCAGAGGCCTCACGTATATGGTAAACAACTTGAAAAGGAGAAGGGGGTCCCGTGATTTAAACGCTTTGAGTATGAAATTCGCTCTTCTCTTGGCTTTCAGGACAATAGAATGGATATATGAACTGTAATCGAAAGCGGCAGTGTATGTGATACCCAGATCCCGAATAGCTTCTGGGCAGGCGAGTCTGCGACCATTTAGGTCAAAATCTACCGTTGGATGATTTTTTTTACTTTTACAAGAGGGTGGCAAAAAAGATCACTTCCCTCCATTCAAAACGGAATTAATTACGCGTTAAGAAACCACAACAAATGAGCCCAACTGAATTCTAATTTATCAAAATATTACATGACACCCTTTTACACCGACGACATCAGGCTTCAGGCTGAGGTGATTACGTTAGCCCTCCTTGAGCTCGACGGTGTCGATAGATGACATTATGTTCTGAAGACCGTGGGGGCAATGAAGGAGGGCCTGTTACTGCTTATTGGGGGGGGGACACCAAAGGATATTGCCGTTAAACATTCATCAACAACGGCATCCTGTGCGACGAAAAATTTGATGATGTGCGCCATGGGTGAAGTGACTCTTTTTTGTCCCGCCCCCTGTATAAATTACCGATCTTGTTGATTTCAATGCTTTTTAGCGCTTCTCATTGTACCGATTTTGAGGAAACTTATAGCAACCCCCAACTGGATGGCACCCATAGTCATGGAACAAATTCATATTCTGCGAGCGCGTTTGAGAGAACTGGTGAGGCTTGACTACCAAACGATATATGCTAGAAACTTTGTCGCGCGCGGCACGTCGTTTGAGCTTTTGACATACACCGGTAGCCGCGATGGTAGGGTTGTATGACATCTAATCCTTTTGGTGTGGAGGGAACCTAGTCGTAAGTAAGAATGCGTAAGCCAGGGGGAATGGGGCCAATTCAGGGGGGTAGGGGGGTGTGTGAGCCGACTTAACCTGTGGCAAAAGTTTGGGCCTAAGTGTCTGGTGTCTGGCCTTGTGAGGGAGACGCAGAGGAGCAAAAGGATTAGATGTCACAAAGGACCTCGCTGGTAGGAAATGGCCCGATGTCAGATTGCTTATACTGCGATTGGAGCGATGTTGGCACAAATGCCCGTGAGCGACTGGTATTCGCTTTGATGCTTGATCTCATCGCTGGGCGAGCGACGGAGATTAGCACGGCCGACGCCAACCGATAAATTTCGCGTGCGCATCAGCTCGTGCATGTCCCGTGTCTCGCAGCTCCCTGCCACAATGGCCAGGCCTTATCACGGCCCGAGCCGATGGATGCGCCTTCAGCGACCCATCGCTCCAAAGCGCGAGCGCACGGGCCAATCTTGAGACGCTATGACGCCGAATTATCGCTGGTCGGCCGTGTCAACATCTCACGTCGCTCGCAGCGGATGGACTCGCTCAGCGATCCATACGCTCTGCAATTTGGTGGCAGCTGCATCGCTCAAAATCAGCCACAGTCTGACATCGAGCCAGTGGAGAGAGGTGGGGGGGGTGGTGGAATGAGGGAATCGTACCTGGAAGTCTTCCTAGATGTGATGCATTACCCTGATTGAGAAATGCCTCAAGAAATTATGTCGCATTAACGGAAGTAACGCAATTGTGCTTTGAGTACGTGTTTTTAGATTCCGAATATATGAGTCTTACTATATCCAAAGTGTAATCTAAAAGTGAATAATGGAGTCATTTCGCTCTCGAAAGCGTGGTTTGGCAGTCCAATGTGACAAGTTGCGTTTGCAGAACGTTTCGCGCGCGATTACATGCTCTAACGCGAAATTCGTACATCAGCGACGCCGGTGGCGGCACCGCGTTGGTATTTGGGCTGTTTTCTGCAGGTCAGTTGGTTTTTTTGTTTTACTTGTTGTTTTCTAAGTGGAGCTTTAATAGTGCTTGGATTTTCGTACACCGGACGTAGTACACATGATGGTTTGTAGGTCGATATTAATACTAAGCATTTAGTTTTGGCTGAGAGCTTCCGTTGAATGCTCGAACAAACCCTCAAGCAAGCATTTTGTATTTTTCTTTTGACTCACGAGCACTTATAGCATAAATTAGTGAAATCTCGCAAATTTCAAAAGCAGTCGGGGAACCCTCAGTAGGAGTGCTACCAATCTGGAGCATTTTGTTGCGGTTAGTGCTGCTCAGCGAAAAAAAAACACGCAAATATGTCTGCAACTTCTTGCATGGCTTCGACAGTTAACAGAACAGGTCGAAAACTAATAGCTAAAGTAATATATCAATGGGGAAGGAGCACTTACTGCAAAGTAATGGCGCAAAAACGAGCTTGTAACTATCACAAGGATGTTGAGTTACGGTTTTCGACACGTCAAGTGCCACTTTTCTGGAAACTTTCATGGATGTCACAGTTTTTGGCATGTTATATTTTGTTGACAGCAAAATGCTTTCTCCCTTACGATAGAACAAGCCCCTCTTTTGTTCTGAATTCGCAACTCTTACATTAGATAAGTGAATGTTCATCGGCTATTTCCTGTAGAACTATTCTCATCATACGCCCATGCGGACTGCTTCTTGTGCAGTGCGTATGCAAATTATTATCTCCATTCGACTTGAGGCTTATTTATCGAAATCCTCAAGTCATTTTTGCAGTACTGGACCACCGCAATGTGGTCAGATGGCGAGAGACCAAGTCCAAGAACAGATCTTCGAAAACGCGGCACACAATATTCTACTTCCTCTCAGCGACGTCTTCCACCAAAAAGTGATCCATTCCAGAAATGTTCGGTGAGTCTGATTTGTTCATCATCTTATCAGTGATACGTTTTCATTTCTGGGTTTATCAGCGATCTGGCATATTCGTGGAAATTTGTGCGATCTTCCCATGGTAATCGAGTTAAACCTATTCACATACCATCTTTTCAGATGTGCTCAAATAACATCTGCGGTTTCCTTCAGCACAGCGGGACATCCAGTGCTCGTTCCGTAGTACTCTCCTGCGCTCATGTCGTATGTGACGATTGTTTCGAGAAGCTAGGTAAATGTTGATGCCATTTCTAGTCTTACAGTATTCATTTATCTACGTGTAGCTTCTTCCCATGGTCAGGGAATTGCTGAAGGTGCGGGCTTCAGCGTTTCTTCTCTCTCCTCTCCTCGACTGGTGTAGGAGGAAGTCTCTTTATTAATTTGTTTTATAGGTTATTCTTTACTTTTGCCTTTATATCTGGTACACCAAAAACATGATTACTGGGTTGCCCTGTTTGGGAATGCAAGCAAAATGCTTCTGCTATGAGGTTGATAGATAGTTGGGAATTTTATTCGGCCAATGTTTCGACTTTCACGTCGTTTTCAACGGCCTCGGATCCCATGCTAGCGTTTAGTAATGCCACACCCAGTATAACGCAATAGTAGCGAAAATAAGAGGGATTTCTTTTTCGCTCCCTGCCAGCTGGAGTAGTGCTACATATGGCTCGTGATTGATGTGCATCGCCAGCTTCCATCGGGTGGCATTGTTACTATACTGTGTTCCGCCTGTGAGCGCTACCTGATCTATTAGGGAACGACCTTAGTTTGTCATAAACATTCAAGATAAGAGTAATTAATTTACACGTTCGAACCGCATTTCTTAAACCGACCTTACAAATTTGCTAAAGTTCCGTAAGCATGTCGTGGGAAGCAGGCTTTCATGTGGGAAGTATTGGTTTCTCAGTGAACCTGCTTCCTTGATTTTTTAGTGAGTTTTTGAAGTTATCGATTCATCATTACATCATTTCTGCATATTCTTTCGTGTACGAGCTATCCCATCTAATTCCTTACAAATGTGTGGCTGTCTTCCACTCGCTGATCCATCTACACAGATCTCGTTTGGAAACTTTTCAGCTTGCTGAAAATTGAAGCGCGACGGAAACATGGAGAGGAAGCTCCTTTCAATTGCACCCTGCCCCACTCACAACTGCATTTGCGAAATCTGACACCTATTAGAGAGAGCTAGTTTTCCATGATGATGCATCTTTGTATCTAGTTTTGCTTAATTAACAGATTGGAGAGCAATGATCCTTGACACATAAAGAGGTTGACATCTCAATGTCTACAGAGGCCTGCGGTCCTCGTGGAAGTTTGAGTTTTTCTTGGGCGGAGCAGCCGCTAGTAATTCGCAGCATAAGGTTGCACCCATAGAGTAGCATCGCTTCAAATCATTACCAAAAAAGCTTCCCAGAAGCTTTTTCATAAACATCGGGATCATTTTTGAAAAATGCATTTTATTTGTAGTTATATAGCTGGAGACTTATAACCGTCAGCATCACTGAAATTGAACATGGCTTCTTCCCTTCAGGTTCAACATCGTCTCAAACAGAAAATCACGAATACGTTAAATGTGTGCTTTGCCGATCGACGGTAACCTATACACTACTTCCAACTTTGGACGATATTATACCGTTAACGTGAGTAGCTAAGATCATATTCGTATTTTTGATTTAGAGATGAATAAGAAGGTTGAAGTTTAGCTCCTGTAGTGGTTGTGCTCAGATGGCCGATCGAGAATGCCTGCAGTGTTGTATGAAGTAAGTTTTAACTTTTTCGTAGACCCATCGCTGCCTATTTTATCTATTCCTGTGGGTTTGTCCCTTCCCCACTGCAAAATAGTCTTGCGAAAATTAAAGGTCTTCTGCTCTTGCAATTGCTTCTGATGATCTATTCAGAACTCGTTCCACGGTTCTTGCGGTCTTGTAGGGATATCATTTTTTGTTACGTTCTTGTGAACGGTAAAACTAATGCTCGATTCTAGAGTTAGATCAACCCAACACCCCTCCCTACCATTCCAAAAATCATCAATACTGTGGCATGTTTTACTCATGGGTTTTTAATTCACGCCATAGTTTTCGTGGTCGAAAACTATGGCGTGAATTAATTGATTAATTATTATTAATTTCGAGGTGTTAAATGTTGATTGCCCTTCCTAATGAACACTTCTCTCAGGTTGTGTTTCAAATGTGCCGAGGAGCATAGCCGCCTATCTCACTGTATTAAAAAGGTTTGTACTTTTCGTGTGTTACCATACCGCTCCATTAATGAGTTTGCCTGTATTGCATACCGTATCTTCACTGAATTTGCATAGTCTCAGGAAAGAGTAGCCCGTTCTATCGTTATTTTCAATCTTGTCTTCACCTACTTCACAAATAACCACGGTCGTTCTGCACTGCAGAGCACATATTAATCGTGCTTGTTCCTCTACTTACAGCTTTCACAAACAATAAGGGAGTTGTCGGAGCAGTCTTCAAATCATATACTACCACCACTTAACACTGTGTGCAGCATATAGCCACAAACCATTAAAGTATTGTGAGTGCCATCAGAAAGATAAGGGAGCCCTTCCACAAGACTGCTGGGTGTGTGAAAATCTCTGCCCAGGCGTAAATTGAACCCGCGGCTCTCGCATTCTGGGCAGTTGTGCTACACCATCGGGGCACCGTTTTATCTTAGCCTTACTTTTCATGGTATACTTACCATAGCTTTCAGATTCACACTTAAGGTGAAGGCTAGGTTAGCCGACATCGGCAGTGACTACAAGGCTTCATGCTCTAGCAGATGTTAATTTTCAACTAATTGAACCTAAAAAGGGAGGCTTTGTCATACTGGTGTCCGCAGCACATGTGGCGCTTCACAACAACTCGTGAAATGGTCTAGTTGCTGTTAAGGACCTGAAAGCTCTCAAGCAGGGTTGAACTGCGCAAGGTTTTCTCAATGGCTGTTATATTACTGCCCTCACTCCTTCCTACATGGATGGTGGATAGGGTGCCATGGTCGCGACAGGATACGTACCTCTGCTCGAATCAAATAAATTCCCAGCAACTATTCATGTTATGTTTGGTAGGACCTAGCCAATTTCTGCTGCATTTGTATTAAAGTCAGATGTTTGACGCTACACTCTCATCCACAGCATTTATCGTCTGTCATTCAGGATTGCTGAGTATTCAATTCATACTATGTATAACACTGAAATTAACTGCATCCGTTTGAGTATCCAGGCGAAATGGAGTGTAATTGTTGTGGAAAAGAATAACAATTCTGTTTGTGGAAAAGAATAACAATTCTGTTTGCAGGAAAGTTCACCTCGTGTTCATCTCCCTCTAAAGTATGTTCAGTGCTGGAATCATCTGCGCCGGTTCGACGGTCGGTGTAAACTATGTGATCAGGTTTGTATCTTTGGAAAGTTGACGATTTGGGTGTAGTTGTTCGAAAATAATTACTTTAGCTACTCTGCTCGGAATGCCCCTTGAATTCCAATAAAGAAAACGGGTGTGAAGAACACAGGAAAGCTAGTTTGTCGTCATCTGATTTTGGTCTGGAGGACAGTATGTTGTTTGCAGAACGCATACAGGAGGAAATAGCTATCGCGTAAGTGTAGAAGGTCATTCAGTCTTTTCTCTTTATTTACTGTACTTATAAAATCATTGAGCCGTATTTTTCGTCATAGTTTTTTATAAATCGCTGCATATTTTTCTTTCTTGATTTATGTTTATTTTAAATTCGTATGAAGTTATTGTAGGTTATGCCGAAGAGCTTTATTTTCAGCATGAATTCAGCAGTAGGGTTCAGAGATGAACTATGTGCTCGTGCTAATCTTCTCAAGAATGAAATATGCGCTCACATTTACTACATGATGAACGCTGTAAGCATTTGCGTAAAATGTTATTTTTTAGGTGGCTTGGTAGAGCTTCCAATTATTGGCCGAGATAAGCAGGAGAAGAAGCCGCCAACAAAGCAGTTAGACGAAGTGGTCAGCCGTTGCAATCATGCACAGCGACATCTAGATACGGTAAATCCCTTCATCTGTTCTAACAAGTGCACGAAAAAGAAGTGGCGCGAAGCGGTAGTTCGATTCCATTTCCCGTTTGTTTTGAAATGTTGTTCGACACTCTTTACAAGTATCCCCGAGATAAGGCAGGAAGAAGAAGCCGCCAACAAGCAGTTCGAACGAAGTGGTCAGCCGATTGCAATCATGCACAGCGACATCTAGATACGGTAATCCCTTCATCCGTTCTAACAAGTGCACGAAAAAGAAGGCCGGAAGCGGTAGTTGCGATCCATTTCCCGTTTGTTTTGACACATCGGTCGGTCCTCCACCCCACTCTTATCATATCCAGTAACTCCCGGTGTAATACTTAAGAAATTCATTTGATTTTTTATTTGCCCTTCTCCTGTAATTTCGCTCATACATAAAAAATGCCGCAAAAACCATAGTTCCGAGAACTCGTCTGCTCTATTTTTGCCTTTTTCTATTCGATGCTAGCTGCTCGTTTTCCGATCTGATTGTGATCTACAGTGTAGAATGACTTCTTCGTAGCAGTTGGAGAAGACCCGCTTAATATTTCGATCATGACTAGAGTCAGCAAATTTTTCCGAAGTTAAAGCTGACCATAGCAAGATGTTAAAATGCACTGAAAACGTCAACACGTCTGCCCAGCAAGGACCATTGTAAGAGGCCGACTTTTTGCCGCATGTTTCGCGCCGCTTCTTTGAGAGAGAGAAAAAGGTTGGTCAAAAGTCCACTGTTATTTTACTATACTGCCTAAAGTTATCATTCTGATCTAAATGTGTAAAAAAACCATGCTGCAATCCAAAATATTTATTATATATATTACAAAAGACAAACTTTTTTTTACAAAAGCGTTGCAAAAGCTCAAAAATTTATAATTTTTTTTGGCCGGATTCTTCCGCCTAACGCACTTATCAAGTTTGAATTAGGTTGAGTAAGTTCTATAGGTGGCTTCGTTTGTGGTTACTTGTTTCATTTTAATGCTTTCACTTTATAAAATAGTTGTATCGCGCCGGTCTTATGGTTTCCCGCTTATGTTTTATTTTTTTAGGCATGTGAATTGGATGAAAAAGCCCGAGACATTAATCTTCTGAAAGACTCTGACAGCGCTGACTTCTACAAGTGCCTCTCGTATCAGCTTTTCCGACCAGTTTTCGCACTTTTAGGCGAAAATCAGGTGAGGAGGATAGGTTCAACACTACATTTCATGCTTTGGGGTGGCGATTAGAAAGATGACAATTGCTCACATGCCTTTCTTACAGAAATGCATACCAAACAGCGCTGATAGTCTAGAGCTTAGAGTGGGAAACGTCAATACTCAGGAGATTATCAACAAGGTTTGCTCTCTCAGTTTTCTTCAGAAATCCATTCGGTTCTCTTCAGAAATCCTATTCGGTTTTCTGTTTGCTTATACATTATGGCGAGTGATTCATTTTTTTGTCGGATTGTCGAATTGTTGTGGTCGTGAGGAGCAATAGTAAAAGATGTCGGGCAATAAACAGTTGGTTATTTGATGGCTCAGTTGCGCAGCAGCTTTACAAATGGAAAAAACTGGATGCTTACCGATTTTCGTTATGGGGTCTGTTGCAACCAATGCTCAGTTTCACTGTTCAGGTCGGTTCGTGGGGGTCCAACATCACTTCTACCTGCCACGACCTTGGCTCTGAAGCTATTTCAAGAACAATAAGGAAGTTGCGGCCTGATGAGGCTTGGGATGCGAAGACTCCTCCACCCACTATTGGGTGCTATGCGGTACTTATTCTTGTTCGATTTCATCTTGCATGAATTTACACGCTGTAACATTGCTGTGCAAGCTCTTCCAGCTTGAAACGGCATGTTTCGTTGTTTTTGTATTCCTTATCTGCTTGCGTCGAGGTTTGTAGGTGGAAATCTGATTACGGTCAACTTTTCCATCTTAACATCATTTTTGAAGCCTTTAACAAGACTGCTCAAGGCTTAAGAATTGTTCACTGCTGTATTAGCGCCATGTCCTTCTATATTTTGAGGCTTTTTCATATCCTTTCAAGAAAGCAACGAAAATATCCAGGTTTGAAAGATTACTTCCGATTCCACTGCTTGAATGTGTGCGTATGCTACATTTTATCGGTACACTAGTAGAGAATGAATTTTACTAATTTGTCCTTATATAGTTGAAATTCTGAAGACATGCATGTTCGAGTCACTTACACACCTCATGGCAGCAATATAAAGAGTACAGAATACTTTATATCCTTTGAAGCTTCTGCTCGGCACAGTGTGCGGCATCACGAATGTTCGAAACTTAGCTACCTTTTCATTTCTTTTCTTTTCGAGCAGCTCCTCGTCTGAGTTTGATACAAAGTTGTCATACCAATCTTGTGAATAATCTGCTATCAATAACTAATAATTTTTTAGGCACTCGATCTACATGTGACTCCTCGAGAAGTGCCGCTATTCTTTCTGTCGGCGTTCAATAATTTGTGGATGAAATTCATTCTGAATGCATGTAAACCGGATCACTTCACTTTGTTGAAGCCTGGCGAATGTGATCCCGTTCCACCGTGCTCGGAGACGGTAATTCATCAACCTGTATGCGTGTTTGACTCGATTTGCTACTATATTCCTCAACTTATTTTTATTTACTTCCCATTGCTAGGGGGTCAACATCTCAGTCGTGTCCTGGGTTCATGTCTTCTTCTGTACCTACTTGTACGAATTTAAATTCTGCTCGGAGATAGGGTTTGGATGAAGCGTGACGGTACAATTTCAAGACCTGCGAGGCAACCCATTTTCTTTCCCCTTCTTTACAACACAGTAAACCGTTTTTGGAAATGATTCAAATCATTTATTCCTGGCAATTTCGCATTGTGCAATAAGCAGTCAGGTGTCGTCGTTGAAATATACATTTATATTGGTCACAACAACAAAGTAGTTAAAATTTATTGGCCAATGTCTACCTTCTATTCGAAAGTACCTCTTTGCAATAACTCTGATTTCTTATAGTATTCGTCCAGTAACCGCTCTCCACTTGAGCAACGTGAGGAACATTGCTTCCCATCTTCGTCAGAGAAAAACCCTTCGGCTACTGTATCTCCTCGAGTGAAGCGTTTACCGAATGGAATCGTTGTTCATCGAATTCTTGCTCTTAATTCCGGAATGTCTGTTTTTCGCAGTGCTGGAGATGTTCTGCTAACGTGTGAAGATCTCTTCTGTATTGGGCATCGTTTATGCTCTAAACGGGGTAAGGCAATCACTTTTTCCTGAAAAATCATTGCTGGTACACTATTTGCCTGCAACTGTTTCCAGATGTACGGATAAAGCGGGTTCACTTGCTAAGAATGGTTGCTAACGTGCTAGAAAGAATCGACTCGGTAATTTTAGAATTCTATCAGTCTTGTGATCAGTGTTTTTGTCTTTTCAATCCCGAGTTTATTTTATTTATTTTCAGGATCTTAATTTTTGTTCAAAAATCAGTTATGATGAATACCCTACAGATTATTGGGATGCCACAGATATGCGTGATGTTGAGGAGATATTCGATGCTGTGAGTGTTTCCTCCTTTGTTGAATTGCAAATGCAAGATTAGTTACTTGTCTGTCTCTCTCCCATAACGCGTACAACGTGTTTCCCATTTTTATGTCGAAACAAAATTGGTGTTCTCGGTTATCTGGGTGTATGGTCATCCTACGGTAAAATGCGCTGCTCAGCGCGCGCATGCTTCACTATGTACTCTCACCTTCAAATAGCCAGAAAATGTGCAGTTGCAGAAATTGACGTGGCACTGACGTGGCATCGAATCAAGAACATCTTTGAGCACACGTGACGTCACCTTTTCATCGAGAATTTAGCCACGTGTGCCACGTCAATTTCTGCAATTGCACATTTTCTGGCTGTTTGAAGGCGAGGGTATGTACGAACTAGTATCGTGCAGTAATTGATACTGGCTCCATGCCAAATAAGGGAGTAACACAATACCAAGTTAATTTAACAGGCAGGCAGCAGCTCATTGCCGGTTTGGTCTTAACATAGAACTTAGATTAGCAGTAGAACATCGCAAAAGGCATTATTTTCGTCTTCTGATAAATATGTTTAGTTGTGTGCCACCGCACATTTTCAAGGATGGTCCTATACAAAGTTGATGCCGATGGCTATGGTCCTCTACGCTGCGAATTTCTACTTCAATGATTTTAGCAAGTTCGTCGTCACTATTTGAGATTTGATCGCTGTCCAGGAGAAACGTATGTTCTTTTAATCAACTTCTGCTAATTCAAATGTGTTTCAGATTTTTCGCAGTACCATCTGATGTGATAAATTCTCGGAAGAGGAACTCGGAAAGCGATGGCTATGATCTTCATCATGAAAATGGTTCATCTTACCCGGCAGCAATCAAGCGAGGACTCAGCTATAATGAGGTTTCCAATTCTGATCCTATTTTTTGGGGTTCTGAATGGCTTGTGTACGGCGCCATTTTGATATTAATTTGCACTCGCAATAGTGGATATCATCCCTGTTATTGAATGTATGATTTCGTGAATCGTGTCAAAATCATCTTTTGGGTGTTCCGCTGGTCAACTGAAACAGGCCACCATACTCTTTTTTGCACACCATTTTTTTAATCGGTTTATCCTACTTATAAGCACTCGAAGGTGCGCTATGGAAGATTAAAAGAAAGCATAGCTCCGAAGCAGACATCGTCACGAGGGCAAGCTGCTGTTTTTTCAAGGCACAAGGCATCACATAAAGAATTAGAAGAAAAAAAAGCATGGCTTCGATAGCTGATGCCCATTTTTAGAAGCTATCCGCCCGCCAGAACTGCGCCGCAACTGCCGATGTATTATACATCACCCACCCCCCCCTTCCACTTTGAGTGTGACCTGCACCGAAATATTTTCCTCGCTTGATAGCTTATTGAATCTTTCGAAAAAAATTCATATCCTGTCTGAAAAAAATAGTGTGATCAGTCGATCGATACCGTGCCTTCATCAACTCATTGGATTTATCCCTGCCAAGCTGACGTTCTGACTGCTACGCTCTTGATTGTTACAATGTTCTGCTTTTAATTTTGCTCTGTTCAACGACTGCGGCGCGTGCATTGGGCGCGTAAACTTGTAAATGAATATTCTTTATCCTTAACTTTATCTTTAACTGAGACGTCCACGGAAAAAGAATGTTACCTTAATAAATACATTTGTTATCTCCACAAAAAAAGTAGGCCGTCTCATTGAAGAGTTCGAAGAGCTACGTGAGAGAAAGGTGAATGCTTCTTAATATCTTTAGAACACTGGAGTTTAAATCCGTCGTTTGTCAATGAGATTCGAAGCAATTCTCTCGTTGATTGGTAAACGAATGCACGTGTTGGCATTTTGCACCGCGTGGGGCACGAGCAGGTTCACGAGCGCGCCGTTCGCACCTTTCTCCGCTATGTTTTGTGTTTAAAATGTAACAAAAATTGAATATCCACAATTAGTTTCGGCAAATTGTGATGCGACACAAAGGTTAAGCTATAAAAAATGATAAATGGCAATAGATTTCGTTTAGAAGAACGCATAATGACCACGAAAGAAGCACAAAAAAAACATCACTTTCCGTGCGAATCAAGTAAAAAGCATTTTCAAGAAAGTTCTTCATCAAATACAAAATTTTGAGACTTACAGTCTTGTGTTAACCTGTTTCTACAATGGTACATATGAATGCCTTACGACAGCTGGAAGAATACTAGGAAAGAGCTGAACATGAAAGTTTTTGTGGCGTCGAAAATCTTACGCTAAATCTAATATTTATTATATTGGGGTATTTGAGCACCTAGCAGCCATGTGGTTTATGGTTATGCTAATGTATCATCTATAAAATGAATGCAAAAAAAACTCGAGAAGAACAACGCAAACACTTTAAAAATGGACAACATAGTTCTGATGCGCTGGCGCGTCAGCCTGTCGTCGACGTGTTAAGAAACTCAAATTACTTTCCCGTAGCTCTCTTCAAAATGTCGCCTCATTGACGGTTTTGTCATCTTCATCGCTTTTATATATTGTAGCAATCGGACGAACATGCTAGTCAGTCTCCATGTTCTTATTCGAACCGTAGCGTTGCCGCGGACGAGAAAGATTCTTCTGATAGACGAGAAAGGGAAAGGCTGATCGTTAAGGTTTGTCTTCGAGGTCTTTTCATTACTCTTATCGTTCTCGAACACCCTAAATCTTTGTGCTTTCAGATTCGGCGTTGTGGAGCTACTCCATCCGTCTCGCACATAGGTTTGTTTATGCAGTCTCGAACTTTCTTTACTTTTCCATTCTTTTATTTTATATTTATATTTGTTCACTATTTTTTACTCACTGGTTATTATGTTTCGATGTAGAGGTCGCTCCACCATCTCATGAAGAAGATGATTCCGTAGCAGAATCGGATGCTGGTGTAAGACCACTCGATAAAGATGGATCGCACGCTTTTTGTTGGAAATGCAACGATAATACGGAAAATGCGGAGGAGGTCAAGGTGTGTTTTTTGTAAGATTTGATCATGTTTTCATTAACATTGTGCATCTTTTCTTAGGGAATGTGCTCAAAGTGTCCACGAGTATTTCATGCCAAATGTCATATACCGCCAGTAGCTGGATCCTGGGATGACACTCCGTGAGTAGCTCATGTTTGGCGTATTGTCTGTGATCATCGCAACAATTATTTTTTAGCGATGATTGGGTATGTTCTATCTGTGAGCGAGTTTATGACGATGGGTCGCCATCTAGTACTTTAAAGGTGGGTCAGAAGTTTAAGACTTCTTTTTACTTTTTGCATCGAGTGCGTTACTATCGTATTGGGCAAGGAAAGGTCGGGCTAAAGTCACAACTAGTTTCTTATATTCAGAATACCACACTGCCAGATAATCTATTTAGCTGTGTTCCATCTTGAATAGGCTACCTCAGTTTTACTTGAAGACTCGGCAGCTTGGGTGTGTGTGGTGTAAGAATTGTTCTATTTCTACGCTTCGACTGTTACTTTGCCGAGCCAAATATGACTCAATTGTAATTTTCTTCAACGTGTGAATTTAAATTGTTCAGCTGTGTTATAAAGTATTATTATGCTGTTACGAGCATGCTGAATGTGCGTCATGTTTTGCACAGCCAGTTCCTGCGAACACGCCTGGGTATTACAAGGTGAAGTTTGTGTCATATTCGAACCTTCTGTGAACCTTCCGGTGTACTATATCATTTGCAGGTGATTGAACATCCTATGGATCTCGGTACAATAGCAGTACAACTGCAAACTACTAACTTGACGAATGTTATGCCAGTTTCTGAGTTTATTGAGAAAATGAACACAGTGTTTCGGAACTGCTCCAAGTTCAACCCGGTATGTGTCTTTACTTCACGATTGCTTCCCTTTTTTAGTTTTCAGCGTCCTCTATAATGTAAATTGCTGATCCATAAGGACCACACTGATTAGCACATTAACGGCAGCCGTCGTGCCAGTATCTCTACTTCCAATCAATTACTCTATGCATAATTTCATTATCCGGATCGTCATATTGTTTTACGGATTTGTTGCAGTGCTTATTAGGTGGATCTAAATCGAGGGAACCTTAATTTTTTATCCATTGGTTTTTAATTGCTTATCGGTTAGTGGCGTAATGTTTTGGTGTGATGCTTGTCTGGATTGAGTTTTCAGTCGAAAGTAATCAGTTCTTCCAATACTAGCTTAACCAATCACTCATTTGTATTTTACCAATTTTATGTGGCATATTATGGCGTAGTAAACTGTTCAAGTGAATTATTATTCTGAGAAGCTATTATTTCGCTGATTGTAAACATTTTGTAGAAAAACTCACCCGTTGCTGAGGCTGGACGTAAGGTTTGGCAATCGTACCAATCTGCTGTCAAAAAGTATTTGCCATCCTACACCAAAGACATTTGGTTGTATGTGAGTCTGCATGATCGGAAGGTTTGTCCATATATTATTCGATTTTCTAAACAGATTCGATTTCATTGATTGTTCACTTTCAAGCTTCAGAAAAGGCGGAAGAGGTCGCTGAGCAAAGGTGACCATAAATCATCCAGGTTGTCGTTGGTTTAATCATACGTCGGAAAACTCCACTCTTCATCGGTAAGTTTGACCTCTTGATGGTTTCCGTTAATTTTCCTTTTGGGCGTTGAATTTTCCAAAAGATTGCCAACGCACGTATTCAAATTCATTTTCGTTTGTATTGTTAATCTTAGAGGAAGGTGAAGCATTACTAACTGCTAGTTGCGCGCAAAGTGCGTCATTTAAACATTCTTTCGCATTCTACCTGAAAACTGGAATCACAAAATCTAAGATTTGAGTTATACTGGTCACAAACCTGAATCGAAGAAAGCTTCCAAAATGCACAATTTACGGATTCGGCTCAATTGATACCTGCTTAACTTTTTCGCAAATTTCTGTGAGGTAGTAGACTATAAATGTTACCAGTTGGCGCCGCACGCATTGAGCGCGCAACACAGATCTGCGGCGAACTTTGATGGTGCGACGAAAGTTTCCAAATTTGGCTTGATACACCACAATATCTGAATTCTCAGCTAAATTCTATCCGCTCCATCATCGACGGCTTTCAACTTCTTTTTCTTCGTCAACCATTATTCTCTTTTTCCCGGTCTCCGGACTGCTTCCGGACAATAAATCTCGTGGCAAACCCGCCTACCTCGGTGCGTGCTACGCCACCAAAGTGGCATTTACCTTCTTTCGCCGACTCAGCCTTTTTCCCGGTCTCTGACATTCCTGGAACAGCTGACCCGCTTTTCTTTCGCGCACCTCTACGCTTTCCCATCTCTTAGGACTTCCTGAGCGATTTCTGAATTTTTAGTCGCAAACTGCCCACTTTTGGTGCAAGCACCTCGCCACCGTGATAGTGGGCTCAACTCCTCTCACTTCAATCCACCTTTTATCCCGGCTCTTTAATACTTCGCCCGGCGAATGAGAGACTTTATGTTAGAAAGTGCTGTACACTCAGAGCGCGCCCGCCATTCTGGCGGCTCCGCCACGTCAATGTATGAAGAAAAACTCTCAGACATTGCTCACTTAACCAAATGTTTTCTGCCATGTAGGCTTTCTCCTCCCGCGAAGTGTATGGAAATTTTTCTAAAGCACTGCTTTTTCAGAGAGCCCCGCACCGGGTGGGTTGCCCTGCTGCGATGTGACTTACGAAACACACCTTACCACTTTTGGCCAGTTTCGACCCGACGGTGCGGGCGGTTTCACTGAAACTGAAATCGTCGTCCTCGATATCGCTGCATTTCCGATCACGCCACGCCTACTGGTGGAGGGGCTCCGCTTAGCTAATGTGTGTTTTGTACTTCTCGAGACTTGGCCCACCCATCCCACACTTGACACGGTTCCTCTATGCGAATCCCAAGGAGCTAGGGATTTCGTGACAGACATACAGGCAGACAGACAGACAGACATACATACATACAGACGAAGCGCTTTATAGTAAGTAGGATCTTAGCTCTGGATACAGATCGATTAAATAAATTCTAATAGACTCAAGAATGTAAGGCATCTCTACCTCTTAAAGTTTATGGAGTCTTTAAGGTGTTACGTAGGTTTTTTTTCCAGTTGGTCTCCTTCTTCTTTAGATTGTAGCCGGGTATACTCATTCGAGTGATTGTTTCTTCTTCAAGCTGTTGCTTACCGCCTTCCGTATCGCATAAGTACACGCGATTTGATGGTGAAAGTCCAGTTCGGGGGGGGGGGAGGGGTTGAGGGAGGTGGAGCACTCCTTGCTATTTTATCACTATTCCAAAATGCTTTGAACTCTCTAACACAAATGATAAGACAATGGAACAACTCATTTGAAGGGACTACATATTGAAAAGGATTAGTGGATGTCCTGCATTCCACATTCGTGCGCACATTCTATCCAATTTTCTGCATCAGGTCATCCATTTTGGTGCTTATCCACCCTTATTCCGAGGCGAAGATCTAAACCTGGTTCAGGGCCTTGGGCCATTGCAGACTAAATTGCGGAACTTCACTTTTACTTCCACACTACACAAGTATTTATCAGAAGTATACTTCAAATGAGTCGGTTAGGTGTCATGAGCGCTCTCGTTCTTATCTAATGTATTTGAGAACACAAGAAGCCCTCCTCCTCCAAGCGGGATTTTCACCAATTGATTTTCTCGCAGTATAAGTATTATTTCAGGTTAGACTGAAAACGATGGCGCAGCTCAATTCTTTGATGAGATAAGTTCGAAAGTTTGTGTCATATGATTTCGTTGCTCGTCTGATGTAACTATGATCTCATCTTTGCTTTTTCTTTAACTGTTGTTGACACCTGTTCCATGGTTTGTTTTGTGATCTGTTTCCACTGAAAAACGTAATTCCTTGACGATGATATGGCACAACAGAAAATGCGTTGCGCTTAGGCCGCCTTGCAACTGCGTGTACCCAATTTTCTCGTGGTGGTTAGTTGCAAAAGATCACTACGTTGCTTTGAACACACTCGTTCGTGTACCATCCCCCCCCCCTCAGGCGAGGGGAGGGATTTTATGGAGGGGAGAACGTGAGCAAACAGAGGGAACGTAGGCAAATTGTGTTCCTCTGGCGTTTCTCTCCTCTCCTGGGCTTAGTCGTAGTGTCACTTACCATCTCCCCAGTCTTGAATGTACCCCTAAGGAGCTCCCTCAAAGGTTCTGAAAACGCAGAAACGACGAAGTAGAGCGTGTTTCGGTGAGACTTTAAGAGTGTGAAAGAGGTCCTTTAAAATTGTTGCTTGGATGTGGAATCATCGAGCTTCGTCGCATGATGACCTCTTGCTGAAGACCTTCTGAGTTACCGTTCTACCAAGGCTGCACCATAATCGCTAAGTTTCATAATGTGGCGATTTGGAGATCGTTTTCGGAGTGGGAGTGCAACTCATCATTCTTTCCTTCAGCTTTGCTCTGAAAGTGCATGCTTGCGAGAATCAGTGTTTAGTAGCGACAGAACCGCTCACTAGTATTTATGTGCATAAATACAAGAATAAGCCTGGGGAGTATCAATGCACGAATGTTACAAGAGCAGACGGGAAGACTAGTAGCTAGTGCAGCCCCAGCGTTTTTGTTTAGCAAGTTACCCTCTTCATAACTTGGCGTTAAGCATCATCCTCCGCCAAGGTCTCCTTTTGCGAATTGTATTATGTTATTTTCTTTTGTGATGCTCAGCTTTTTGTTCGGCCTCAGAATAACAAATTTTGGCCTGTAATAATGATTGTTGTGAACAGTTTCTTCTTTTCTTAGTTAGAAGTTTGGTGTTATTTGCGTTTATTTCACTTGGAAGTGCTACAGGATAGCTTATTGCATTTTTGTTACAGTTCCAAAGAGTTGAAAGAAAACTGCGGGTTCTCCTTCATTCTCGATTTTCTTGACATAATTGCCAGATGCATGCTTCGTTCATATTATATTAATATATTGCCTGAATTACATCCTCTTGCAAATGTGTTTTCTTTTCTTTTCCTTCAATTGGTCATTGTCTTTGTTTACATTTTCCTTCAATTACCTGCAAGCGAAGAAGAATTATATAGTATTTGATTTGGATGTAGGGATAGCACAGAATCGTGAGGAGGTGCTCCCCATTCTAGGCGCGTCGTTGGCGACCGTTTATGGCTTTACCTCATTAGGGTGAATTGCTATATTGGTCATTGTCTTTGTTTACATTTTCCTGAAGCTATGTTTTGAAGCAGTAATTGATGATTTGTGGCTGTCTCTTGAGCTTTTGTTACGGTTGTCATATTTTCATTATTACCGATAAATTGTTCTAATAAATAAATAAATAACTGTAATTTGTAATTAGAGTAGCTTCCCATCTGAAAGCAAGACGTGAACGCGAAGCTGTTGCTGTTCGCATCTGGTCTTCTCAGGGTTCTTGTCGTCATCAGCGATGGGTTTCTACATAACTCGGGCTGAAAACTGTGTGCTCAACAATCTGCAAAAATTTATTTGCAGTAGCAGCAATGTTCTCCGTCCGTGGAACGCTGTTGTTTGGCGCCCTCTCATCTGTGGCGCTCCATCACTTCATACTTTCCTATCCGGGCTCATCTCTCACTGCCTCGACACAGCCGTATTAAGAGGGTGAATAAGCCCTTAACTTGAGCGTTTTTGACGGACTTGTTTTCTTTTTTCTTTACAGCAGGCCTGTTCCGCAGCAATGCTTTCGTAGGTGTGTGCAAGGTCCACATGAGGTCTGCTCTGTTCATGCTGCCTTTAACTATGATAGGCTAACGGTGTGCCTTGCAGCTACTGATACTCAAAAACCAGAAGTACAATACTCCCCATCGTGTCACAAACCAAAATCCCCAAGCACAAGCCAATGCTCTGCCCTAATTGTGCCTACCTGTGGCTTGCAAAGAGCTGAAATTAATTTTCGGTTCAACTTCTAGATTAACTAAATGATGATTTTTTGGTAGCCCTATCTATTCCCGAGAAAATTTCTTCTAAACTGGTTTTCGGGAATCTCGCAATTTGGCCTAATTCGTATGTACCTGTGAGCCTTGGAGCCAAGTATACGGCGCACCCTGCCATCGTTGACCTTTGCATCGAGCAAATTTCGCGGTCTATACGTTCCTATCGGGCGGAAGTGGTGTAGAGGCAAGTGGCACGCTCACTACGCGAGCGGTCTGGTAAACAAATCCTGGGTCGTGAGTCGCCCGGGCCAACCAAGCCTTCCCATCCCTCCGGGGTCGGTTAATTGGTACCAGACTTGTCTGGAAGGATACTCTGACTTGTACATTTAACAGATTTTCTTGTGCCTTACGAGGTTGTTCGGTGGAACCTTTATTAGTGGGCTAACGTTCCGACTGGATCGTCGTCTTCAGAGGCCTGAACGTGTTTCAAGCGTTAGACTTGCGCTCTACACCACCAAGCGCCTCATCAACTCTAGCAGTTTCGACATCGTGTCAGAAACCCCTCGAGAAGATCAGGACAGCGCAAGAAATAAACTCACCGTCGGTTCCATCCTTCGAGCGGAAAAGTCCGCTGCCACACAGAGCGCTGATCAGTTAGAACTGAAGAATACCATACTGTCTCCTTATGTCAAAAATAGTCGAGAGACGCACGTAACGCTCCATTATTCTACAGCTCGTAGTGCGGAATGAACGGCAGTAGATCATTTGTTATTGAAGGACACTCATCGCGGCTGTTCATTCTTGGATTTTTAGTGAATATGTAGAATGCTTCTAACGCCTTCCGCGCGGAAATTTCCGTCTCTTGAGCCAAGCAGCGTGCACCTTATTTCAAATTCATTCCCATTATGCTCCTCAATCTTATGTCTTCCCAAAGGTGTTGTCACAGTACCGCGTCTCAAATTAGCAAGATGTTCCTTGATACGAATTGCTAAAACCCTTCCTGTTTCCCCTATGTACGCAGCGTTACATGCCTGACATTAAATCTCATATATTGCTCCAAGATCTCCAAGTTTTCCATGCGGACAGATAACGCAATTTTCGGATATGCACTGCTTGTTATAAAGTCTGTTTCGAACCAACTGCCGTTTGATGTTCTCGTTGGGGATATTCACCAACTGGACATCTTCTTGCAATTGGGCTCTTATGCACCGAAGGATGGCGGTGCTAACTTTATCCGATATGAAAGGGATGCACAGGGGCAGTTTACTTCGACGAGGTACCTCTCGCAGGCCAACATGCTGCCGTATTCTAGGATGTGGTGCCTATACGGCTATTCTCGCAGCAAGCTGTCGTGATTCTGCTCGCTCGACATTACCAGTGCACATTCCTGTTGTTGTTTTGAACATGTTGTTAACAACAGCACGTTTGACGGCAGTAGGATGCGCCGATGTCGCGTGAATCAAGATATTCTTCGAGCTGCTTTTACGGTACCACTTTACATGTGCGATGCCACTGGATACTTTGACCTGCGTGTTCAAATAGGGTAGTCAACCGTCTTTAGGTGTTTCGCGTGTCAGCTTGATATATTGTGACTGCTCATTCATCAAGTGGAAACACTCATCCATTTCGGATTGTGTTGATGTTATTATGAAGCAGTCATCAATATATCTACAATACATTAAAGGTAAGCGCTCCAACACCGGCTCCTCTATTTTACCCATAAAGCAAATAGCGAGAACTGGTGCCGCTGACCCAAGGCAAGCCCTCTAATTTGGGAGTAGTACGTACCTGCCCATTTGAAGATATTACAATTCAGACATTCCTCGATTAGAGCATATTTGCGCTTTATCGAGTCCAAAAGTACGTATACGAGTGATGTACCTGTCAAGCATTTCTGACAATGCTTGCAAGGCTTGCTCGTTTTGGACGTTGGTATAAAGCGATGTAACGTCAAATGACTCCACTACAGCACCGTTTTGCAAATTGCAAGTGCGCAGCTTCTCAAGGAACTGACTCGTATTAGGCAGGTGAGAGGGAACCAGTAGGTAATAACTGGCTGACAATGCTGTTCAGAAACCAAGATATCCGCACTGGACAATTTGGGTTGTCCAATTTGAGTCTACCTATGAATTTCTCATCAAGCCGTGCAGATTTGCCTCACCCAGACATGGTTAAGATGTCTGCAATAAGAATTCCCTCTCATCTACACGACGATAAACAGTGGAATCCCGCAAGTGAATTTCGGTTATGGCATGATCCAATGATTGTGACATGACAACAAACTGACTTGTACATCGGCTGGCCCGCAAGTCATTTGTATAGGCCACATCGCATTCAAACGCCACCACGCATGTACAAATGGAAGTAGAATGCTGTCGCATCCCAAGACGGGATTGATCAACGGCAAAAGCTTTTTCCTTATCCTTATACGTTCCTATCCACTACTTCTTATCATAATCTCTGTTCAATTTACCTCTAACTAGCTTTAATAATATCCGAATGTCCGTCGAGTACGGAGGTATACAGCAGAACTCGCGAAAACAGCAAAAATCGCATGTCGTGCGAAATTCTTCCTCTTCCCACCGTTTTTGGATGAGAACACATTTCACCACACACACACTTACATGGATTACGCCTTTTTCAGCCTTTATCGCCGCTTCTTCCAAAAATCACAAATACGACCCCAACAGCCCAATTAATAAATGGCTCTCCGCGGGGACATTTTTTTCTAGTTTTCGCAGCACAAAATCTCTCCTTTGATCAACGAGTATGGAAGTGTTTCTCCTAAATAGCATTTATTGTCTAAATGAAAAATAGACAGAACAAATTAAAGCACAGAGAAGTCCAATCGGAACATGAGATACTTCTAGATATTAAGGTTCAAATCTGCCCATGAGTTTTCAACATCCTCACGCACACAACAAAACACAACTGCTAGAAAATTACATTCTACAGACGATTTCTAAATACAATCTACATGACAACCTAATAAACTCCTATAAAATATTGACATGAACTGTAGACCACCGGTAGCATCCCGTGATATTTGTCTTTGGGTTGTACACATAGAAAATGAAGCTCATAACAGACGCGTTTTCCCGTTCCTTTTGTTGAGGATCACTTGCACAACAAACGAAAGGATTGCACTTGAGAGGCACAGGAAACCAGATACGATGAAAACTGACTGGTAAGAACCAGTGCGATCACGTACGTAGCCTGCAATTGAATATACAGAATTTATTAAATTAATTTAAGAAATCCTTCCGCGTCTTGAAATATCAGATATCATGAGAAGCTTGGCTGATACCTACTCTACAAACAACCGCGAATAGAACCTGAGTTCCATTTCAGAAAATGATTTAATTTGACAGTTATTTTTTTTACAATTTTTGTACCGAGCAGTTGCGGTACTAAAGTTAACCTGACCACTCGTGCGCCCTAGCTTAATATCATTCATCCTCAAGCACCTCTGGGGTTTAAAACATATTTTGAAATACCGTCTCAGGCTAAGCATCTGGATAAAATTATCTGTTATCGCCCACAACCACTACGCATCTTTGCGGACTATTAAAGGTAAAACCAGATAGCTTCACCAAAGTACCACGAGAAAGGTCTTTCAGGATATGTCCAGCTTTCTCAAAACGGTTCTTACATGATGTAGGGGTACGTGCATGGAACACAGTACTGTAATTCATTTTTCCTGAGCGGCTCTCTGAACAACAAAAAAGGGGTGATGAAGTGCGTGGTTTGAATCCTCGCACTGACAATTTTTCGTATCTTGTGCTGGCGTTCCAAATTTTGCGAAAAATAGCGTCAGGCGAACAGCTTATGTAATATCTAGAATTAGCACCATCAGCAACCTTTATACATAGGATTTTGCTCAAAAACTGGTGAAAAACTTTAAGAACGGCAGCTCCTTAGGAAATTTTCCTTTGCCCCTTTTCTGGTTTTCAGATGGTCGCCCAGGGAAAAATTAGCCACAGTTCTGCGTTCCATGCAGGACCTCTATATCCTGCAAGAAGCCGTTTCGATAAACCTGGGCACTTCCTGGAATACCTGCCTGGTCAGCCATTTGCAACCGGCCCTTGAAATTCACTTAACAATTAGCGTCGTATTCCGTCATCCTATAGAGAAGGACTGTATCAGAGAAGAAGCGATTTGTTAAGTGAGAAGCGGACACATTCTAAGCGAGATATAGGAAGAAGAGCTCTTTGAACACTGTGAAGCTTTTAATGAAACTAGAGTAATACAATTGTGCCGTTTGATAGTCGGATAATACCTCTTTTGGCGGTGTATTTGAAGGGCCGAGTTCGAGGAGGATGGCAGGAAGAATCCCTATGCCTCCCCAAGCTCTGTCGCGAAGTCGTCGGCCGATACTAAGTCGAACACGAAGTCTCGGGAAAGCAATTTGTATCAAAGCCATTACATTGCGACACACAAGATGTGTAAATGATATTCATCAAACAAAATTAAATATAGGGTTCATTTGAAGGGTACCCAAAAAATTGAACATAGCAATATCTAACGAATTGTGACTGGTGTATGAATGGTTAGACCTGGATTGCGAGTATCGGTAATCCTCTTGCCAGCCTTGTTGCTCCCAAAACCTTTAATACGTAAGCTCCATATCATTGTCAGTTTAGAAATTTGCGTGTACACGTATCATTTTTACCATTCAAATATAGATGCAATGTGTGAGAAGGCGAAGCTTAACAAATCAGATCCAGCTGACAAAAATAAAATTTTATAGCTAACACCTGGCATTCGGAAGAATTCTGCTGGCTTCAGCAACAAAGACGAAGTGTAGTTAAAGAAACAAGCTGAAAACGTGGAACAACGGCACTGGTTTTATCTTTTTTACTTCACGGCCATGGTAGCAGAACTGTCAAAATATCTATGTACAGGCAGCTACCAGCCGTTTCATCCCCACAAGATTCATTTACTAGAATCTTTCGCAAAGAAAATATAACATTGCCTATTGTTCTTGAACTACATATATGAGTGCTCACAAAGATATTCCGCGACTGGATCACTTGATCAATCCTATCCCTTAAATTGCGTGGGTTCACAACTCGCAGAGATAGGCCTTACCAGCGAGTCAATTGCATGAAAAAGGCATAGGCGCTTAGAATTAATTCCAGCGTAGGGGCCGCCCACTTTCTTCCACGATTTGGGGCCGGCGGCCCGCGAACCGGCGAGTATGCGCTAATAGCTACCTGAGTATTCGACGTACATTGCGATTATCCGCCCACCACGCCGCGCCCCAAATCGTGAGAAATGGGGGAGCCTCAGCGCACATTCCATAGACAAGTGGACGCTCACGCTGTAGTATCTACCTTCCTTTCGAAAAACGAGAAGGCCTCGGTTGCAGACCGTACACCGCGGGTGACGACGGCCTCCAAGTAAATCTGGTTAGTAGTGGATCATAGTAATAGCGATTTTTGGAAAATGATAGTTGTACTTAGTGACAACTGGCTAATCATTTTATTGGCAGAAAAAATTTACATTTTGTGGAGGCTACTTTGTGGAGGTCGTCACTTGTGGTGTATGGTCTGCACCCGACGCTCCTCTCGTTTTTCGAAAGGGAGTATAAGTCCTGCTCCTTGCTCTGCTCTCTCGTCCCCCTGTGCTCTTTTCTCACCGAACCGTATCTTCGATCTCTATCTTCCACCAACCAAAGGAAGGAGTGCCGATGTTGGGTGCTTTTCAAGGTTGCGAGTCAATGATTCATGAGTATCTGGTGTTTCATATTTGAACCAGTTGGCGCTGCACGCAGTTGTGCGCACAAAACAGTTCTGCGGCCATGAAGGATGGTGCGGGGCTTCTAGGCTAGATTATATTCGTTTGTCCCATGCCCAATTCAACGATGGCTTTTGACCTTCCCTCCCTCGGCAACCTTGTCCGCTTTTCCCAGTCTCCGGGCTGCCTCCGGATCGACTTATAAATCTTATGGTACGCTCCACCTATTTCGCTGTATTTCCCACACACCTTTTCTCTCCTCGCCAACCTCTCTCCCCTTTCTCCCGGTCTCAGAAATGTCTGTCGGCCGACTTATATATTTTACAGCAAACCTCGCTTTTAGATGCATGCTTTGAACATCATTGAATTCACTTCTTTCCCCCACTTACTTCCCGATCACTGGAACTTCCAATAACCGATAACTCCGGCAACAAACTCCGCCCCCCTCGTTGCGTGCACCGCCTACTAATAGCAGTTGGCCTCCTTCCCTTCGTCAACTTCTACCCCCTTCCCGGTTTCTGGGACTTTTTGGGACCGAGTTACGAAGTTTTGTGGATAACTCCGCCCATTTCGGGGCATGCCCCGCTCACCAAGGGCACTCGACCATCTTCCCATCGCCAATCTCTATCCACTTTTTCCCCTGTCTCCAGGACTTCTTAGAACCGAGTTGTAGGTCTGGTAGCAAACCCCGCCCGCTTTAATGCTAGCTATGCCCAAGATTAACATTCAACCTTTACTCTTCATCTGACCTATATACACCTTTCTCAAGCTTTCCATGGCTTCTTGGAACTGAATGATGATGATGAATTGTAGGAAATGCGATCTCCTTCAGAGCACGCCCCGCCCATTGTGGGCGGGCCCCCGCCCATGTCATTTGTGCTGCGAACACCTTCTGCATTGCTTTCCTATATCAATTTGTTTCCTACTCTGTAGGCTTTCCAAAACCGAGTTATGAATGTTTTTATAAAGCACCGCTTTTTTGGAGAACGCCCCGATAACCGGAAGTGGATCTCCCTAGTTCAATCTGGCTTACCAATACACACCTTCTCCCACTTTTTCCAGCAGTTTCGAGGCTGTTTTGTAATAGAATTTAAAAACCCGGTCGTCAGTATAGTTCATTTCGATGCACGCCAAGTCCACTGTGGGTGGGGCTCCGCTTAGCTGATGTGTGCTTTGTACTTCATGCGACCTTGCTCACCTACGCCACACTCGACTCGGTCACTCCAGGCGGACCGCGAGGAGCTAGGGAATTCGTGAGAGCTAGGGAATTCGTGACAGACATACAGAACGAAGATGACAGGCGAAGCGCTTCATAGTAAGTGGGATTCCATTACCTCATCTTCGCTGTCGCGTAATGTGCCCTTGAGCAAAAATAACAGCATTTATGATTATAAACAAAAAACCAACCGATAACTGGAGGTCCAAACAATGTAGCTATTCCTTCGCAAAATGAAGTTAAAGCATATGAACTTTGAAAGTTTCGCATATCCTCCCACATAGTTGTGAGCATAACTGATTGAAGCACATAGTTTGACGAGATAAAGAAGCCGAAACACGCACAAATCAACTAAAACAACAACGTTTACCATTAACACTCACTTCTGTGACTAACATAAAGATTCAAAAAAATTATATTCTGATATTCGCTTGTGACCTTCAACGTATCAGCCTCAGTAAAATTTGAACTTAACGAAAAATGGAGTAAGTCCCTCTCAGTATGGGCTTTCAAACGGAAAGGCTAGAATGACAGGAACTCAAATGCAGTGAATACGATGGGAGGCAATCCGACCATATTTCTAGCGAGCTGAGGGAGGCAGTGAACCACCTCACAACGTCCTCCCACCGAAAGCGTCCAGATTGGCCCCACCTCCCAGCCAACGTACTCACTGATTTTGAAACATGAGGATAACCACACTGCTGGCGGTCTTGATATGGACTAACACACAAAAAAAAACTGAAAACGCTTAGGAAAATTAAAGGGCGTGACCGTTCGATAGGCTGGGCTTCAGAAGCGAGATATCCCGCGCGTTCCATGGCACAAAAGTAATACAAACACACGTCCATTGAAAAGTAGCCAATTTATGGGAAAAGAAGAACGAATACTCTCTTCAACTATTTCATCATCAAGCTCCAAAACTTCAAATGTGCTGCTATTCCTTACTGAATGAAAGTGGTCCAAAAATCTCGTCCGTCAACAGGGACAAAAAAAGCAGCCTAATGTATACCTCTGTCCCTGGACACTGTCAAATGAGGGAACCGTACTGCTTATGCGCAGGAGAATCGTAATTAGCGAAGGGAATCGCATTTTCGGAAGACATAGCAAGAGGAACGCTTTTTTAGAAAGTTGGAGAATTTTTGCGAACTTGAAGTGAATTTTGGAAACTGACAAATCTGCTCGCTACAGCAATTCTGTATCTCGCATCTGCCAGAATCTTTCAGACTTATGGAGGTGGAGTTGAAAGCCAGAGGTTAACAGTGGAGAGGGACCGTAGTCCAGGATCGGTCCGAGCCCACAAGCAACTATAAACCAAATGCACCAGTAATTTACGCTTCTTCATAATAATTGCTTGTGTGTCTGTGTGAATGGAACACCGATCACTAAGCTGAGCTTCCCCAAGTTCTGAGCACTTCCAATGCTTCTCGTGCCTACATATGAACAATTCTGGTACATCGGTCAAAGAGAAATTCAATATAATTCAAAACAACAACTTTCCGAGCAGCTGTTCGGGGTGCTCTATTAGATGTTGTCGCAATCACAAGGAACACACACGCGTTCGTGCCGAGACATCATCGCAGGTCAACTTTACTCGGCATGTGCTCGAAAATGCTGTCCGCTTCCGCCGTGATATGAACTTCCCGACCGTTCCCCCCCCCCTCCTCCCCTCTCCCCAGACCCCTCACCACTTTCTACTGTCTTCACCAAAAACGAGATCAACAATCAGATGGTACCAATCTTGCAGTCCTAATGCCATGGCTCGACGCGACAAATCTACAGCACCACGGGCTGTATGACCTGTGTCATGATGGGAGCGTGTCCAGGTCTTTCAGCGCAGCCTAGTCAACTGAGACAGAAGAGTAAGAAGGCAAGCATTTTGCCATCAGGCCTTCAGAAACCTCTTAAACGCGCTTGTAGCTGAAAACACTTCACGTATGCGATTACAAAGTGGAGCAGTACATCACAGTGGCAACCCGCAACCTTATTTCCAATGAACCTCTTCTCTTTTGAATGCAGCACATGTCTTTACATCTAATCCAAGGATTTGAAGCACACGATATGTAAAGCTATTATTGGTCTACGAAGCGCGACACTGCTCAACGTTACAGCTAACTTCTGTGGCATCAATTTATCAACAATGGCGCGCCCGATCCGCGCCCTGACATAACAACGGGATTTACCTAAATGTTGCGAAGGGTAGTTTGAAAGCCCAAAAGGCAGCACCAGAATGACCTTCCTACAAAACAGTTTGACGTCACTCCCCAGAGCCTAGCATGCAGATTAGACTTGAAGCCATCGAACCAAGCAGAAACTATCACAAAAGCACAGTTTGAAGCAAGAATCACATCTATGCAAATCTAGCAAAACGTGGTTTAACAAAAAAAAAACATAGTAAGGTGTGATCAAAAGAATGAATTAATTACCAAAACTGTAAATCAGTATCTCTGATAAAACAAAAAAGAAGAGAAATCAAAATTTAGCAACAATAGTAAGAAACTTTCAAAGTGATTTTTCGTAGCTCAACAGATTACATGACCACTTCAGCTTTCCCCTATTTCCCCTGATGCGAGAAACGAGAGGCAGATGGTAAGAGAACGGCGGCTGCTACAGCTTCTAAGGGTGCCAAGCGCCTGAACTGTCATTCATTCACCTTCCTCCAGGTGCTCCCCAAGTCAGTGGCGCCCACGTCCTTATGGGAGCGAGGGGGGAAGCAGAGTCAACCGTGCATTGCGCAGTTCTCTACGGCACGTTGAGAGATCCTAAACGCACGCTGAATGGGCGGAGAGCACAGACGGCTTGAGCATGCGAGTGTGAATGTTCGCGCGAGAGGACGTGTCTAATCTGGGCCCCCAAGGCCAACGTGGCCGTCGTTGAGAACTGACGCAACGCAAGGTTGATCGGGAGGGGGGGTGGGGGGGAGGAGTGGGGGAACATTTCACGGTTAGCACCCTCTCCCTGAGGAAGCGTCCCAGCCATATCTTAGGAAAAACATGGGTGAACCGTGTGGTGGATAATAGGAAAAACGCTGCCACTATTACAGTAGCGCTTAGTTTGAAATCGAAGCCTTATCGACAGGAGGGACTCTCGCGATTCATAGGCAAAACCCAGAAGAAGAGTGAAGCCTTCACGTGAGAAAGGTAAAGGGAACAGGAATCGGGTAACATACTGTTTCGTACCGACCTAGCTGCGAAAAAGGGCAGGGCCAAAGGTGCTAAAGTGTTAAGGCTCCACGCAGGATTCCATCCAGCTACAGGAGTTGACGTCATGGATCAAATCCGCTCTAGCTCCGTATCCATGTTACTCAGTCACCGATTCTTTGCTCCCTCGCAAAGCTCAGCATCTCGATCGCTCTCCGTTTCTTGAGACCCTCTAAGTCTAGAAAGATGAAACTCTATTTTTAGACTTTCCTAAGGTTCGTTTTAATTTCTTCTCCATCATCGGTCAATTTCGCGACTCTGCTTCCATATTCTAGGAATGATCACACCGACTTGAGCCTAAGGAGTGCCTCAAAAGAGCAGAAATCAGCTGGTAAGCAGCAAACAAGACGAATTAGAAGGAAACGTCGTGTTTTTCTTTAGCACACCATGCTGTTTTAAAAAACATCTTAACCGGAATAGAATACTTCGGACAAAATAAATCATTCACGTACCGCCATTCCTAGCGTATCAGAGACCATCGTTACTATCCACATACACGCAGTTAGACCACACATTGCAATCCCGTAAACAGTAAACAAACGCTGAAAAGGAGAAGGAATAGCAAATGAGCAAATACGCAAGCGGTTAGATAAATTTTACCGATTTGACACAATCAGCGTCCGATATCACTCCACAAATCCATGTTGATAGGAGATTAGCCACTCCAATAATAGAAGTGAGCCATGCTGCAGATGTTTCTTCAATCTGAATTCTTCGCAATAAATTGCGCTAAGTCATTTGATCGAATGAATCTATAGGCAACAACTGACATGTAAATTGTCAACAGCGTAGTCATAGAAGAAAACATATGGAACATCCAGCACGAAATACAGACTCGTTACGCTCATCAGGAACCTAAATATCAATAACTTTTGCCATTCATAACAATTGAATCCCAAATAACCATGTAATCAGTAGCTTCAAAAGTATCAAAAAGCTCTTGTAATATCGAATTTTCACAAACGCCGAAAAATGCGCTATTCAGTCTGCAATCGCGACGCGTATCGACGTGAGAAACACAACACAAAATCGACTTGAATGAAGCAGCGATTTTTTCAATTTTTGGGCTTCAGAATGCCAATATTATTTAATGATATACTGAATCGGGCATGACTTCTTTCCAGTACCTGAAGAGCTCACACGAAACGCAAGACCTTATAATACAAAAAAAACTTACAGAACGAAAGAAGATTCGCTTACAAGAAGACGATAGAGGACCATCTCCTCGTGAAAACCTTTGCCAATCTGAAACCTTCATGTTATTTTGAGCCCTGTCGTCGTCATTACACAAAGCGATTACTATCTTACTCACCTCTCTGAGGTGCAGCTTTGCAAGGAGATTTTTTCTTTTTTTGCGCACCGCTAGAGTAGGGGCTGATGGTATCTTGCCCTGGTAAGCAATCAGATTGGATGGACCACGGTACCTTAAACGTGGCAGTGCAAATGCAGCGTTTGTAATCAACACGATAATAAGATTGCAAAAACAGAAGACGTCTCTTTCAAAGAAAAGAGAAATTGAAAAGAAAACGAATGAAAAGAGCATACCTGGCTACCGCATTTCCGGCAGGTATACGATTTCCCGTCATACCTGGGGCCAAAGAGGTCCGTAAAAGACGAGCTGACATTGGAAGCGATGGTTCTTGAAAGGAGATTGATGATCAGCGCTTTATTTACTCCATGTTAGCATCTATAGGACAAGTACTTAGACCCAGGGCCAACCATCCACTCGGACAATCCAAACAAAAGGGCCACATTTAGCCCATGGAGTGGGGTAAGGTCCGTCGCTAGTTGGATGTCAGACAAATCGTTTTTAGAGAAGTAATGAGCACCAGAAGATTGAAAACACGCAGTTTTAAAAACTGTCTGGAAAACCCCAAAAAGATTGAGGGGCGAATTCTTCGAAAAGTGAAGGTTGAGGATCGTCCAAGTATTCACCAGAAAGTGAACACTAGACTCCCAATTTGCGAGGATTGGCAGATTTCCATAAGTCAAAACCTGTTGGTTTCAAATCTACTCAAACTTTTATAAATCGTCAGATTTCAAGAGTTTCATGTATGTTTGAAGAGTGTTACTTCACGCGGTTTTCCTTGCCGCGTGAAGTAATACTCTTCAAACTTGCTTAAAAAACCCGGTGCGATCCGTCTGCTGAACGTGGTAGTTAACCCTGGTCAAAACCTTCCCCTCTATTGAGCACTAAGATTGTACATCAGCCGAATGAGCGGCAAGTTACCTGTAATGTTGAGTTCCAACTTTGGAAGCCCATTCACAACAAGCTTAGTGTTGTTATTGTTACTGGTGGCGTTGATAATATTGTTCACTTTGGTCTGTAATTTGAAATATCCTGGGATGTGAACAAACTGGATGTCTGTGAAGTTCCACCTTACAGTTTTCAAGACACGTGGTCACACAAAGGGTTAAATGAATGGAAAACAAATAGCATCATTTAAAAAGATGGTCAAGCCATACTTTGTTGAGACACGTATCTGACAGTTCTGAACTCGAGGAATCCCCATCGTTTGACATTTCAGAATCTGACTCGCTGCTCTCTTCATTTTCCAAAGGCTCCTCGCTACTAGTTCCATTGCCGACTGACCTTAAGAAATAGTAATGAGAGAAAAGCTGGACCCACTCGATGTTATACTTGTTACGCACTACTAGTGAGATATTTCGATCCTCTAGTCTAGACGGACTATTTCGCCTTCTTGCTACTCTTCAGGCCTTCTCTACTTGAGATTTCATGCGACATTTCAGTATTAATGTCTAACAATGGGAATTCTACCACACTAACGCCATCTTGTCTGCAGACCTGGAATGCTCAACTGGTGTCAAGGTCAAAACAGTTGCCCTGAAACATAGAAATGCAGGTTCAAATCCTGTTGAGTCATTCTCCTATGCTTCAGTAATAATAATTTTCTTGTGACATCTAGCACATGGAAATTGTTCTATGAGAACAACGAGGGAAACCAGTTTGATCAGAGGGGAAAAGCGCGAGAAATTCTTCAAACATTCAAGATGCATCAATTTAATAAAAAGAGGAAAAATTTATGAAGTAGTTGATTGGCTACTCCAGTGAAGTTCTTATTTCACTGATTGAAAGTCCTAATAAAAGCGTAATCCAATGCTTAGGCCGCATTCATACGCAAAATTTCGATTCGGCGATTCGCGATCGATTAAGAGATTGGAAGACTCCCTCAAAGACAAGATAAGTCTTGAATAGAAGAAGAAGAATAAAATATTAGAAGTCCCCAGTCAAGTTGATTTGAGATGTCCAACCCTTCTAGCTAAATCACCAAATCTCCTGTTTTCCTACTCTTCTAATCTCCGAATCAATAATATCAATCCAACTACTTCCTGAACCCCCAAAATGCCGAGTATGAATACTGCCTAAATATAATTCGAAAAATGGCACAGTGAATTTTGAACAGGAAAATGTTTTCTATTGTTCCAATTACAGCAATGAGAATGTGAAAAAAGAGAATCAACAAATGTAATCGTTAGCGCAAAAACGGGAGACTTACATTTTCATCAGTGGATATTCGCTGTCATGTTCGATGTTATCAATAGCATCCATGCTTCTGGCAGTTTTATTAGGCATTCTACTTTTCGGTTTGCAATGAACAGTGGTACAGGGTGAATTGTCTAGCTGAAAACAGGGAAGTTTATTAATGATGAAAATAGCTCAATTTAATCCTCACATGTAAATTCAAGTGCTCGAGATGTTTGAGTTGTCCACCAAGCATGGAGAATTCAGGAGCTGGTGGCAAATCTACCGTTCGCGGTCTGTTCATAAATGTTCCTACAGATCGTGACCGCGTTGGATGGTCTTGAAGAGCGGTCACGGCATCTTTGACTTCCTGCAAAATTTCATTAGGCTCTCAATGTGTACCTCCGCGACTACAGATGAGAGCTGCGTACAGGAAGAAGTATGAGCTCAGGGTTCATGCAATGTCGTACATAACTTGTTCAGAATGGATACACAAAGAAGTCTATAATTGTATCGTTACACCTAAGTGAACAGTCTGTAAGACTCTCGCCTCCCTGAGCAGTACCAAAACTAGACCCGGAATTGCAACAGTTAGCATAGACCCGGATTGCAACAGTTAGCAAAAGCCCCTTAGTTGTTGAAAGGCCAGAAGGAGACCAACGCAGCGCGATTACGAGAGACCGCATAAAAGCTAGTGAATCGACCAATTGTGAGTCAACGAAGTGGCTACAACGTGTTGAATATTCAGCTATCGATTTTTCATATCCTGAAAAGAGTAGCGTTCGTTATGAGACGGCGTCATGGGAAATGCAGCAGCGAACTCAGAGATAAGGTATCACATCACGAAATCGCCCATTTCGCTTCGAACGCCTTTTGCACTAAGCGGATAGGAGATGCAGCGGTTTCTTTTTGAAGTAGCAGTGTAAGTCACGACGCGTCGTCCCTTCGTCGCGTAGTGACTTCGAGGGCTCTGCGGAAGTACGCAGCAGTGAATCCATCGCGGGCGAGCGTACACAAATTTTTTTTGTCGAATTCGAGTGAAAGCTGCAGTGCAGCTACACACTCGGCGAAAGGAGATTTGTTTGACCGCAAATAGCTCAAAGAAGTATAAAGGGCTATTTTATAATGGTGCATCGCTTGGGTGCGCGCCCTCGGCCCCTTATTTACACAACAACTGTGTATCAGAAAAAAACAACTTTACCTCTACGTTAAAATCTAGCTTATTCATAAATGGTCTAAAGTAAGACGGCATCGATGGCAGAGAGCAGGCGCGACGAGGTTCCACATCTTGAAACTGAAAAATATTTAACTTATTCGAAACGACTGTTTTCGGGTACTACAACACAGCAATGGTATCAGCTCTTACTGATCTAGTTGTGCTTTGATTAATACGCTAATATTGACTCTGACTTCGTCACATTTCATATTAATAACGATACATCAAAAAAGGATACACATTGTCAGCACTCATTTACCATGCTAGGACGTTAATTACTATGAAGTTATAATGACAAAGGGCAAAATTGACGCAGAGGAAGCAAAAAAAATTCAATGGTAAACTCACACCAGGGCCGAACATAGCCAGGAGAGAGTATAGCTAATAATTTGAAAAAAGAAAGGTTAGAAGAATCAAAGAGCCAAGTAATGGATGAGAAAGATTACCGTCAGCATTCATTGGACAAAAAAAATTCAAAAAATCGAAGGACTTGGCAGCGCCATAATTTAATGACACAAAGAAGCGTCAGAAAAACGCGCGACTAACAATAGACAAGCAAAGAGAGCCTAGAATACCGAACAAACCCCCAAATGCGAGGCGGGTTACTTAGCGAAAGGTGCCAGTGCAGCAAGGTGGGGGTTCGCCTTCCGTTTTCAAAGAAACCTGTTTGCAGTGGTTCCATGGACGCGTTGCAATGCACGTCGTCGTTTTTCAACATTTGTAAACAGTCCCTACATTATGGTATTCGCAAAGGTAACAAAATTCGCTAATATAAGACTGTTTGCTTGCCACATTAGGAAAAGATGAGTGTTGTAGAAACGGTCGCGCGGAACGCGGTGGCAGCAGTACATGAGTAGGAGGTAAGGAGTAACAAAGCACTTAAACTAACCATTCGACCGCATTCTTGATTTTTCATGCTCTCTTCATCTTCCCGCAACTTCTTCAGTCTTTTGTGAAACACTTTCATCTGGAAGATTAATGACAAATTTTCGAGAACTTGAGCACATTGAAAGGAAATTGACATTTTG